TCCGGGCAGAAGTTGATTCTTCTCGACTTAAAGTCCCTCTTCTCCCCCTCATCCTTCCCTCCGCGACGTTCCCCTCGCGTTACGAAACTTTCAGCTCCGCTTTTTCATCCCGGATCAGCTTTTAATCGTGGGTTTCTCCTCGGCAGGATATATAGACCGCGAAGACCATCGCGGTACGTCGATGCTTCTTCTTCGAAGCGTTTCGTTAATCCCGCCGAACCCACCCTCCCGCCTTTACTTTTTTATCCATTCTTCATCTTCCCCTACGGGATTCCGAACGTCTAGCCACGAACGAGCTTCGCATCGTTGTGTCGACCTCACGGATACAGCTGTCCGACGAAATTAACGGATCAACGTGGAATTTATTTCACGATAATTCAGGGGCTGTGTAGTCGTAATTAGAGGAAGGTTGCCGAATTTAAACAATTTCCTAGGTTCGACCATTACTACATACTAAGTTACTTATTGCAATCACCACTATTATACACATGCTGTCTATCATTCGGCACAAATTGCTCAGACATGACAGGTTACAGTAGCGGTCCAACCTAGACGATAGTTCAGCAATCTTCCTCTGCAGATAACAGTGCTGAGACAAGTTTTACTAGAAATTCGTGCGGATTTTCACTCCTGACGAGCGAGTGTCGATTCCCCGATGACGAACCCTGTCCACCCAGGAATCGTTTGTCGTCGCGGCGTTTAAGAACGCGCGAGGAACAATGAAGCAACCAGTGGGGAAACTCCACGGTCCCCGTGGAAAAAAAACGCCCACCGGACTAAAAAGAGTCTCTTGCTCGAAGCGGAAACGCTGTTGATTCTTTCCCTTCGAAAGGAGCAAATATTGACCGTTCCACGCCTCCGGGCTCTCTGCTTCCTCGACGACTCTCACCGGTACTCTCGGAACGATTCCTTTCTTTCTGCGTGCATTTGTGGCAACGGTCGAAACTTTGATCGTTAATTAAGGCCCGGGTGTGCTCTTTCAGAACCATTATTCGGTTCTTCGTCGAAATCCTGGCGGCTCGATTCGACGTACGGTCCACGCACGTCCCTCGCAGAGTCTTTTATTTCCGGAGATCTGTTTCATACTTGACTTTGCTCGAGTTACGATTCGAAACCTACAACTAGACAGCGAAGCTGTTGGATCTCCAAAGAAAAAAGGGGAAGTTCCGAACCGTTCCATCAACGGGAATTTATTCTCTCGCGCCCGAAGATCGTTCGGCAAGAAATCGGAAGTGCCATCGAAAGAAAACAAAGCCACGAGGGGGGGGCATAGACGACTTTTGTGTCCCATCTTTATCCAACGACCGGATCGTTAATTAAGCATTCGGGTTCGGGATGGAGGATCGACAGACCTGGAAGATTCCAGTAGCGCGCGTCTTGCTCTCTTAACGAGTCGAGTTTAAGCGAGTTTAAGGAGCCGAAATAAAGACGGGGATTTGAGAAACGCTCCCTTTTCCCTCGCTCCTCGAGAGTTCTTCCACCCTCCCCGCCGAGCAGTTTCCAAACCGTAGACGAGCGGTCTCGAGGAGCGGCCAGCAGCAAGTTTTTCAATAATGAACGATACGAACGCCGAGCACTGGTTTTTTTGTCGTTCGTTTCGCTCATTTGCGCGTCGACGGTCCCGACCACTCCGTTCCACCGACCAGGCTCGCTTGAAAGAATTATTTCGTGGGAATTTCACGAGCGAGACGACACAGCAACAAAGTTTCGCCGTTTCGGTGCCGGGGGTAACTCGAAGTAGATACTTCCCGAGGTGCGCGCGCCCGAGCCCTCGACTACCGGGAACCGAAGATGCCACTTAGCTCTCGTGCAAATTTAATTTCCGGCTGCTGTGGGACTCGAAATTAGGCTAATGCTTGGATGGCTGGTGGAAGTGGGTGGGAGTGAAGGGAGTAGGGGTTGGAAAGACTATATGCCGTTTATGGAGACCGCCATCACGATGCTCTGGTATCCGACAAAACGATATACTCTACCAAACGCCCCCCCGAGTTGCTTTCCGGACGCGGAATCTCCGATGGAAAATTCATACGTGAACCGTTCTGGTAAAACTATCAACGTCGACTTCATGTAACGCGCAGCCCGTCAAAGACGGACCGACACTCGTTTTGGGAAGCACCGAGGGTGAGTTAAACGAGGTCTCAGCGATATAACGCCTGATAGGTATTTTCGTTCCGTCAAATATATACCTTCGTATTAGTTCGGGGTACGAATCAGAGTGACACATACGATCGGGAAATACCGCTTTATAATTTATTCTCGCGGGGCAATCCCGAAACTCGACAAACCGCCGCGCAGAAATACCGTTTCGGAATTAACCGAGGAGAATCGTCTTTCCGTGGACGAAGAATCTCGATACCGGGAGGTCGAGAAACGGCGGGGAAGGAAATCGTTCGTGTTTCCGTTGCAGGCGATAAGGCGACGTGGAAAATTTTTCTTCCTATTAGCGGAGTCAACGGGGCGCTCGCGCGTGGCAAGTGTCCTCGCGAACAGGAGAAAATTAGTATTCTAACGAGACTCGGTATCGTTATCTGATCTCGTACGTACCCGCCACGGCGAACCGACCAGGCCATCGATGTTATCTTCCCCCCGTTCGAGGAAATCTTTAGCGGGCCGCGTTATACCTTGTTTTCTGGCGTAAACTTTTACGATACGACCCGCGAAAATAGTGGGGATACTCCTCATTGCGTCGTGCGGTCGGTTTCCCGCGTACCTACCGACGGAAAACTTCTCGTTCGAAGGAATGGGATTTCTGCGAGCGTTGAACGGGTATTCAAAGGGGAACGGGGAAAGAGGAACGACGACGCGACGTTTGCCGGTCACGTACCGAGCATTAAGAAACGGAGCGAACCGTGCATAATCCGATCGCGAAACTTGGCCCGCCGACGACCGGGAAACCTCTGGTCGAACGGGAACGAGGAGCCCGGTCAATGACACGGGGAATTCGGTCGACCTCGTCGTCTCGAACGGTGAATTTTTTAACAGAAAATCGAAACGCGAGAAGATTCCGGCCGTGCCCGACCGACCAGGAACAGGCTTCGCGAAATCGCCCGAGGCTGAAACGGTTGACGAGGGTCCGACGTAAGCCGCGGGCGCGGCTACTTTGGACCCTACCCCCCCCTCCGTCGACGGAGAGAACCCACCCGCAGACGATTTATCGATTGTTCGACCGCTTTCCCGTGTAATTTTAACCGCGTTCAACGACGATGTTACGTTGTTTCATTATTGCATCATTACACGCTTCCGATTAATCGCATTAGCCGAATGCGGCTTTAATACCGGGCACCACGTTCTGGCATTTATCGTGCCGCCGATGCGCGTTCGATAACGAAGCACGCGTGCACGGTCAATGTTCGAGAGTGGATGCCGAAATATTCCTGGTTGTGGCCCATTAAGCCGGGGCCTGGCGCCCCTATTCGTCGAACTGACTCTATCATCCTCGAAGGTATCGAACGCGCGTCCGATTCGCGCCGTTTATCAACCACCCCCACCCCCTCGGTGAACTATGATTTTCGGATTGCTTCTACAGAGGATTGGTTTGTCGTTCGCAGTTAGCGACGGTGGTCGGATCATTTTATACACGGTGCAGCTAATTAGAGAACTTTCGAACACTCGAGGAAATCGGGTCCTCGAAGTAGAATCCCGACGAACGAGCGGAAAAATTCCGTGTCCCCGTGATTCTACCCGATAAAACGTCGAAGGTCCCCCCTTCTTTCTGTAGAGTTTTCGGGACGTTAATTATTTTCCTTTGACGCTGTGGTCTAACGACGCGAAAGACTCTGTGAACAGAGATGGATAGAGAAGGAGAGGGTGAGGAGTGGAGGGAGAGATGCGCACATATTTGAGCGACGGCTCGTGGACGCCTATCATTGCACCTGTGGGAAAGCGTCCACCTGGCGGAATCAAGTTCATAACAAATAAATCGAAATCACCCCGACGTATTTTTGAGATTCCTGCCCGAGTATCTGTGATTCCCGAGGAATCGAGTGGCGTGTCCGATGGCAACGGCATTGACACGAAATAGCCCGATAGCGAGAGAAAAAAAATGGGGAGGGGAAGGGATAGAAAATTTCGGTGCATCTGCATTTCGAAGAGAGTGAACGACGGAGGCGGGATAGAGCGTGAAGAAGAGAGAACATTGGTAGAGAACGAAGCGCGAAAACGGGAAGCTCCTCGGAACGACTCCTCCGCCACGGAACGGTCCTTTCGTTCTTTTTTTTTTTCTTCTTTCCCCTCCCGGAGGAAGAATACGAGAAATTGCGAGCAAAAATATCCGGCGAGCGAAGTTGGAATCGAATTAAAAAGCTGGCCGAGCCAATTAAGGCGTTTCGCGAAAGTTTAAGAGATTCTTCCCGGAAAAGGGTAAGCTTTCCCATCCCTCCTCCTTCCCCCTTCCCAGGTGCACGGCGTGGCCGCGTTTCTTTTTTCTATTACGTCGCCTTCCGCCTGGTCGCCGAACTGGGCGCCATTCTTCCGTATAAATAGAAAGAGAAAAAGAGAGAGAGAGAGAGATCGCTCCGGCGGACCGGAATACGGAAGAAGAAAGGCTTCGTTTAATTTCAACAAAATTTAGCTCGTTATCTCGCCGCGTCGTTCGCGGGTCGCTGACGATTTCGATCAATTTTTACCCTTCGTTCTTACGTCAACCTGTGCGTCGTGATGTGTTCCGTCGTTTCCGTGCACGTTTTCTTTTACCTCTTCCCCCTTTCGAGGACGTCGTGGGAACGATCGACGCGGAAACGACTAAACTCTGTACATCGTGCCGCTGAAAATTCTGGCCGATCGAGTTGGCTCGCGGCGGCAGCTGTTGTCTAGCGAGCTTTCGTTAAATATTAAGTCTCGACTACGCTGTATCCCCCGCCCCACCGTGAATAACGTTAACAACCATTCGGTGCCGGGCGTCCACACGAGGCTCGAGTTTCGATCTCTGGGTCCCTCGATCGAAGTGTCGTCGCGGCTGAAGGGTAAAACATTGACGGAAACAAAAAACCATAGTTACGTACCTTCGTAGACTTTGAGCTGCGCCTCGGCTGACACCGCGTCCCCGACTCCATTCTCGGCTAGACACTCGTATTGGGTGTTGTCGCGACCCGGCTTGACAGGTTCGATCCGCAACAAAGCTCCGTTTTCATAGTTCTGCACCAGGTATCGTGACTGAGACTCTGCGGAGCATAAACACGAAAGACTTAGACGGCCCCTGAGACGAATAAAGAGCAGGGACGAACGGACGTCGACGGGAGGGCCGATCGACGGAACGTGGTCTGACGCTGCTTTTCACAGAAGGGTGGGAATGACAAAAAAAAAAGGGTTAAAAACGGTGACGATTCGATTCGAGCTGAGCGCGCGAAACGCTCCGGGAATCCACTCGTGTCACCCGTCGTTATTTCTCTTTCGGCGGATTAGCGAATATTCGACGGTCGTGGAATCGGTTCGCGACCCGATCACACGATCGTCGAGCCACGGGGATAAAAACGGAGCCCTCCTCTCTCGACGTTAACCGGGACGAGTTTGGCCACGATTTCCAAACGGGGGCCTACGGTTTCATCGAACCACCACCTCTGCCCCCGAATAAATTCCAGTTCCGGTTCCACGGATTGCTAACGCAACTCATCGCGATATCCTCGTCCGACTCGATTAACGTTGTGCTTTTCTACACGCAGGACAAAAGCAGCAGAGCCAACAGATCGTGTCGAAATTCACGCGCAAGATTTCATCCTCGAGCGAATCGAGCGCGAACCGGATATCGATTTACCGAATCGAGCGAGACGAACGGTGGCGAACAAACACGCGACGCTTCGGTTTACGCTCGAGGGCACCCCGACGCGGCCAAGATAATCGAATCTCTCCCGAGAGAATTGCGACGTCTGGTTCGGAAGGTGTGTTCGCCGCGTGCACGTCGAGGAGGAACGGACGAGGTGGGGGAAGCAGACGATCCGGCCAGTTTCCGAAACTGTTCGTGCCGGACCGACCCGTTCCGCCTCGTACTTCTGGCACACCCGGCCGGGTGGCGTTTCCTACCAGCTCGAGCGAGCGCGAAATTTAGTTCGAAAGAAGGGGGTAAGGATCCAGGCTAGAGTCGTAAGAGCAACAGGAAACCGGAACCGAAAGAGTTCCATCCTGTTTTCTCATCGAGGCAGTATATACAGTAGAATTCGGATAATTCGGCACCCTCGGCAATTGAACTCTATATCGGATTATCGAATATAGAATGAATGATAAAAATGGGGAATATCATTTTAAAGATGGTCATGGTTCTGAATCTGGGCCGAGGCAGGTGAGAATATATGATTTCTGACACATGAGATGTTAGGTCTAGTCCATGTCCTGTCCATATCACTGGATGCCGGTTTATCGGAATTCTACCGTAATACTCTCACTTATGGTAGACTGACAATCAAGCTACCAATACCAGGGGACTCATGGTAATCGCTCGAGTTGGTCGAAATCTTGAAAGGGGACTAATTTGAAGTTGGTGATTTCGGTGATTTGTCTCCGCGCGATACAGTCGAAAGTGGGGGAACGCGAGGAGAGTGATATCCGTCGGGAATCTCTGTGAAAAGTTTCGAAAGCGCACAGACGGCAAAAGGAACGGGTGAAAAAGCGAAAACTTACGGGAAACTTTCTTTCCGTTCTTCCTCCAGTGGATCTGGGGCGGCGGCGCTCCCTCCGCTGTGCAGTAGAAGCTCGCTATTCCGCCTGCCTTCACCTGCTGCGATTGCGGCCTCACCAGGATCGTCGGTGGACCTGCGAGCACAAGATCAAGGGAAACCTTTGATTAGAGCCGGTTCGTCCCTTCGGGCCGTTTCGGCGGCCTCCGTTCCTCTCCGAGCTAATAAACGGGGGAGAGACTCCTCGGTATACGGTATCAAGGAACGTCTCTGAACGAGCCCGCCCGTTGGCGGGATAAACAAATTACTCGATGCACGGTAGCATTTCGAATCGGACGAAGGAAAAGAGAAATAAAATTGCCATTGAAAACTATCGTCGCATTGTCGATAATGCGCACGCGTACGATAAATATTGCGACGTATTGCCATGGTCGGGGCTGTAGAGGAGTAAAATGGCAATGAGTTCAGAGTCCTTTCCAAATTCAGTCGTTGTAGTTTCGGCCTCAGTGCTTGTGCAAAGGCTGGATAGTACTGGTGTCCGCAACGTGACGAGAGAGGGAATTTGTGTGCGCGAAGATACGTGTGAAAGAGGAGTGCCTCGCGTGGCAATATGTTCAGTGGCAATGTAGTTAGAGTTCAGTGTATATAGTTTGCAAATCCTCGATCAAGCCCACTTAATGTGACGTAAAGACAACTGTTCTTTGGCGACTAACTCGCCACCTGTTACTTGGCGTTGATAAATTAATACCATGGAAATGATGTGACTTCGATTATATCGACACGGCTTCTAAAAAACGTGTTCTCTCTGGCCTGAATGGTGTACTGTGCATTGGTTCGTTGGTGGGGTTTAGTTTTCGATTGGGTGTACGTATTTGGCTGACGGTGGAAATAAAAATGTTTTGTCGGTGTATATTTGTGCGGTGAACACATATCGAAGGCTTTGATGTGTATCGTTTTTGGGGTCAGTTAAAATCAGCATTGAATTGTGACAATGAACTGTTTTAAGAACAGTGGATATTTGCATGTACAGCTGTCCACGAATCGCTGTCTAGGACCTATGATACGACCTTTGGTGACCTACGTTTCTCCGTATCAACTTAAATATATCTATATCACAGAATTCATTACTTTCTGTCGTTGTGCCCAACGTAAACATTCCAACGGACAATTTAATTAATATCGCTGTTCCAGGTCACGTCTGGCTGTGATGTTTGTATAATAAAAGGGCCACTGTGCTCTCCTGTATAAATAAATGAAATGCAAAAGAGAAAATGAAAAAAAAATTAAAAAAAAAAAAAAAAACGTCCGTCCATCTACTCGTGAACTCGATACGGTGAAACCTCGTGTAAACTCGATAAACGAAAATTTCGCTATCGCGAGAAAACGGCGGAACACCGCTCGGAATCGGGTCGGACGGACAGCGTGTGACCGCGACCCGGTGAAACCCACCGATTCGAATCGACCGATTCGGATTTAACACTGGGCCGTCGGGGCCGGAAACTCGCCGAACTAACTCGACACGCTTTTACCTACGGATAAAGAGGTGTCTCCCCGTCCCCAAGATGGACGAACGTGCCCGCGCTTCGTTGTCGGACCGTCGTAGTTCCTCTCCCGGTCTACCCCTTCCACCCCTGGCGAACTAACACCGCCCCAGCTGAAAACAGAAGGTGCAGACCAAGGGGCGTGTTATCTGGAGCGAGACTACCGGCCAAGCACTAAATTGGTCTCGAAACTTTGCGATCGTACGGATCGTTTATGGCTACTCTTCCACGGGCCATCGATTCGATGGAAAACGGCCGCGATTTTTCGCCCGTTAGAATTGTCATTGACCGTCGAATCGAAAACAAATTTCATCACCCGAGGAATCGTAGTAGATCGGATAAGTAGAACGAATTATAGCCCACGGAATCGCACATTGGTCCCTTCGTTTCGTCAAGAATCCCACACGCCTCGTCTCGACGACATCCACGTTCATCGGGACCAAATCATCCGTTCAACGAGCCAAAAGAAAAAAAAGAAAAATCTGCCAGGCGGTGAACGTGCGCGATCGATCGAGAGCCTCGTAACGTTTCAGCGATCGCATCGAGTACGACAGAATATCCGAAATAAACGCGCCTATCGCGAAATAGAAGATTACAGCCCGACGGGGGTGTGTGGTGGTGGAGTGCAGCGATATCGGAAGGGCAGGGGGAGCAACGTTGGCAGAGGGGTGGATACAACGGGTGGATGACTCGAAAATTTCGAACGGTAGAACGTACAACGCGAACCCGCTAATCTATCGGCCGCGCACGAAAATCTGTGACGAGAACGGGGTGGCTTGGGGGGGAGCGCGGGTGGTTGGAACGCAATTTAAGGTAAATATTATTCCATCGGCGAACCGTCGATAATTTTTGATCGAATCGCTCGTTCGAGATTATTGCTATCCGGTCGGGTCGCATTGTGGTCGGCCGCGCCGGCGATTATCATACCGAAATAGTTCGTAACAGGTGCATTAATCGAGCACGCTCGCGGTGTGCCCGGTGGTACGACCCGATGGATTGATTTTTCAAATATTCCACGCGGTCTCGCGCGGCGTATCCACGGGATAACGACACGCGCGCGATCCAGGACCGGAACGGATTTAATAAAGTTCACCACCGCGAGTTATCCACTGGGGAAGACTTTTTATCTCTTCTTCCCTTCAACCCCTACGCTTTCCACAGAGGAAACTTCCTCTCCGTGGGAACGAAATCCCGCTCCGAAACCCTGGGCGGCGACTTCCATCGCTCTGAAAAATGATTCCGCGAGGGGCGAAAGGTCTATGCGCGTCGGGTCGAGTATAGTTCGAGAGCATCCGTAGCCGGATCCGCCAGCGTGGAATTTCTCGAGCGAAATCCACCACCCACGGCGGCCGGACGTATATACGTTTATTTAGAACGGGGCCGCGTACCGCATCAAGAGCACCTGCCGCGCTACGGGCCGCCCCAATGATAATTTATGATCGAATATTAAAGGGCCGGCCCGATAAACAGCCGCGAGAGCTCTCTCTCCCTCTCGAGTTCATGCCTGGAAATTCCGACCGCTCCTCGGTTTTCTTTCCGTACTAGAGGCGTGTATGTGTATCGGAGTAAATTACGAAAATAGAGTAAGGTTCGATTTGGAATTATTCAAATGAACAGTAACGATCTTTCAGAAGGTACAAAGTCTCTTATATACGCGACGAGAAAAACGTGCAACCGTGATCCTACGGTTAATATCTCGCAGGTCCCGAGAGAAACGACGGAGTACTTGAACACCGTGTGGAAGGTTTCTCGCGTTTCTCGTTTTTTCGAAGAAATTTCGGGGCGCGTGTTCTTTCCCTCGCACTCTTCGTATTTTGTTTTTCCCGAGGCGACGAGGTAGAAACGGAAGAAGCTGGGTCCATGGAGCGAGATGGGGTTTGCACTGGAAAGATTAAACGCCGGCGAAAATTAGATCGCGAAACGCGAAGTCGCCGCGCGCGCCCGCGTAACGAATGGCGGTCCACTTTCCGAGAGAAACCGCCTCTGTTGCCCCACGGAGAAAATACCGGCGAAAGAGCCCCGAGGCGGAACTTCGTCTCCGTGGCGAGGGCATGAACGCGAACGAATCCGACGTGCCAGCGCGAATTCATTAGTCACGCTCGAAAGCGTCGCGAAACGCGCGCAACGGGCCATGGTACATCTATAGGGTAGCGCGTAGTCATCGAGGAAACGGAATAGGGATAAAAATCGTTCGTTTATCCCCTCCCGAAAGTTCGTAACGACGAAGGATCGGTCGGTTCGCGTAAAAATGGGCACAAGCCGTATCTCATGCTTAAAGTTCATACCCGGTTTGGCAGCCGAGAAGCTTGCCGCTCGGAGCCGGCCACAAGGGCGTGAAAAAGTTCACCGGTAGTACGGTGGCGGGCCGCCACGCGCGGCTCCTCTCTATTACGCTTTATAGCCTGCCGCGACGTAATTGAAAAAGTAGCCGATAACGGGGCAATCTGCATGAGATTTGAATAAAATTACGCGTTACTCACTGCCAAACGTACCACAGAACCGAACGAGCGCCACCCCCAGGTCGATCCCCTAAAAAATAACGCTGGATTAATTCCTCTCGCGAGGACCGTCGTAAAAACCGCAGAGATTTTCAGCTAAAGTGCGCTCGCGCGTTTACCGATTCCCTCGAAACCGTCACCCAGACATAAGAGTAAGGATCGATGGAAAACATTTATCGAGTTCGTCGTCCAAAAAAAAAAAAAAAATAAATTTTGTTTCCACCGAATAAACAAGGGATTCCGTCGTCAATAGGTTCGAGCGACGATCCACAGGACAGTCGGTGTGCAATCGGAAAGAGGATCGGCGCGGAAAGCGGTGTGGAAATTTCCGCGTGTGACCCCGCGGAACGTGACTGGTTCGTATCGCTTGGGACGGTCGAGCTTTCGAAGTGGATGCGGGTGCAGGCCGAAACCGCGACTACAGGTGCAAACTGAGCGAGAGAGAGAGAGAGAGAGAGAGAGAGAGAGAGAGAGAGAGAGACAGATTCGTCGTCGATGCCATTCTGTCGGGGCATCGATTGTAAACACGGTAGTTTATATACGCGCGATGGATTCCCATCGACGAACGATGACGTTCGGTGGCGCAGAGACGAAGGGTGGTGGAGGGTAAAGGGCCAGAGAGAGGATGCGGAAGCTGGCGGGTTGTGGTCGTGGAGGCGCATCGGGCGATGGCACGGCTGCCATACCACGTCGAGTGTACATTACGGGAGAGCGCAGGTTTATCGTAAATAATTGCACGCAGGACCTTATTCGCGCGTTTTAACACGTCGAAAATCGGTGGTCGTGCTTTTCCCGCATTCCGAGATCTCTGCCCTCGGTCAACGTGGAGGGGCAAGGCAAATATTAATTTAAACGAGGTTTTCGACCGGTCCCCAACCACGTAACGGCGCGCTCTCGTATCACAACGGGGCCAGGCAAAGAGCGTGTTTCCAGCTTCGCTTCTTCGTTCTCGAAAGCTTCGCAGCCGCCCGGTTTTATACTCGTTTGTTCGTGCACAATGCGCCAACAATGGGGAATAGAATTCTGGCCGGCCGTGCGGATTTAATAATGAAAATTTTCCGCCGTCCTTCGGCGAACCGTGAAATTGAATTTATATG